TCTAGATATTCTGCAATTTTTCTTAAATTTCACCTTTGATTCAAAAGTTGCTTGAAAATTTCCAAATCTCCAGATGATAATGTTTTGTTTTTAATTTCTATCTTTACTGAATGTGTGATCAGAGAAAGACTGTACAACTTCTACTGTTTGAGATTTACTGAGGTTTTAATGATGGGTCTTTTTTTTCTTTAAACGTTTATTCATTTTTGAAAGACAGAGAGACAGAGCGTGAGTGGGGGAGGGGCAGAGAGAAGGGGAGGCACAGAATCTAAAGCAGGCTCCAGGCTATGAGCTGTCAGCACAGAGCCCTGAACATGGGGCTCAAACTGACGGGCCGTGAGATCATGATCTGAGCCAAAGTTGGACGCTTAACTGACTGAGCCACCCAGGTGCCCCAATCGTGGTCTAATTCTTAAGAATCTTCCATGAATACTTAAAAAGATGTCTTTGCTCTACTTTCAATATTCAGAGTTTGATATGTACCAATCAGATATACCATAATACATGTACTGAAGACTTCCATATTCTTAAAAATTTTTTTTAATGTTTATTTATTTTTGAAGGAGAGAGAAACAGAGCATGAGCAGGCGAGGGGCAGAGAGAGAGGGAAACACAGAATCTGAAGTGGGCTCCAGGCTCTGAGTTGTTAGCACAGAGCCTGATGCGGGGCTTGAACTCACGAGCCATGAGATCATGACCTAAGCCAAAGCCGGACGCTTAACTGAGTCAGCCACCCAGGAGCCCCAAGACTTCCATATTCTTACCTTTTATCTAATTGTCCTGTTGTAGGCTGAGATTATTTAAAACCTTTTACCATTAGTTATTTTCTGACTATTGTTCCTTGTTAAAGTCTGCAGTTTCACTTTGTGATTGTTAATGTAATGTTATTCAGAGCATAAATATTCGTAACGCTAAGATCTTCATTTTGAGTCACATCTTTTACCATTACAACATACCAGAAAAATCTCAGTGACCAGCAGGATACTAAAAATGGTTTCTCTCAACACCAGGCTCTGTCCATGCAGCACTGGGTACAAACAGCAGCGTTCTGGCAGTCACACAAGACTAGAGGCCTCTCCATTCCCCCACTAGGCCATTTGACCACATGGGCCACAGCTGCCTCTACCTGAGCTGCAGTGGCTTCCTGACCCAGTCAGCAAAGTAGCAGCCAAACAAGTAAGTTCTTCTGCAAGTACTTGGGAAAAAGATAAATTGTGTCCAGGCATGTGGAGAAGCGAGTGAAGAAGCTGGATTCAGAACTTCCCTGGTTAGAAAACTGATCAGACAGCTTTTGGTCTGTGGCCATCTGGTCAGTTTGTAAATAGTGGTTACAAGAATAATCTGTTAGCAATTATTTTTTCCTATAATGCACTTTATTGGGTACATGCTTTGTTCTTATCTATAAAAAGACCCGAAGGTCCAGAGTTCAATGGAAATGGGCAAGTGCTCACAAGAAAAAAAAACACAGTAACCCCTTTTCAGTGTCTTTAAGGCCATACTGGAAAGAAGAAATCATTAATAACTGAAGATGTTTACAAGCAGAGGACCTGAACTTTAGATTCCCTCTTTATGAATTATTCCCCCAAAAAGGGAGTTGGGGAGAGAACCACATGTTTTTATTACACAGCTTGGGCAACATACAATGCTCCAGGGCAATGCAACGTCAGCCTACAGGAAGGTACCATAATTACCTAGCATTGCAGCTTCTTTTGCAACTCACGTGCTGCCCCTTGAAATCAGCATCCCACTCAAGTCAGCAAGTTTTGATGTGCACTAGTGGGTTGCATGACTCTAGTATTAGACTAGAAATATTATTTGTTAGCACATCTAATACATCTTCTAAAAAAAAGATCACATATTATCATCTCCTTATTGCACTTAAGTCTTTCTAGTCACGGTCTAAAAAAGGTGGTAGATTTTTAGATTTGGAGTCTTTAAAAGACATTCATCAGATAAACATTTTTCCAAAGAAGACATACAAATGGCCAACAAAAACATGAAGTAAAAAATACTTGCTTTAAGTATAGTATTATTTTGTTTTGTTTTAAATTTTGTTTGTTTATTTATTTAAGTAATCTCTACACCTGATATGGGGCTCGAACTCACAGCTCTGAGATCAGGAGTCACATGCTCCATGAACTGAGCCAGGGGAGACCTGTTTCATTTTTACTTTTAACGTTTATTTATTTTTGGGAGAGAGACAGAGTATGAGTAGGGGAGGGAAGACGGAGAGGGAGACACAGAATCTGAAGCAGACTCCAGCTCCGAGCTGTCAGCGCACAACCTGATGCAGAGCTCGAACTCACAAACCTCAAGATCATGACCTGAGCTGAAGTCGGATGCTTAACCGACTGAGCCACCCAGGACCCCCATTTTGTTTTTAATCATCTACTCGTAACCTGAAATGTGGTATCCTACTACTGTTTAACTTTAGGTTTTTGTAATTTTAAAACACTGGCACGTGGCACGTGCTAGCTGCTTAATGCACGAGGGCCGTCAGTATTGTTTTCGCTAACGCTACAGTTAGAGAATTGATTTAGCTTTGCAATTAAAAAAAAAACTGAGCCACTGAAATGTTCATTACTCTGTGCAAAATGCCAATTCAAATTAAATTCCTACAAGAAAAAATAAATTCATTGCTTTATCACCAGTCCTTCTATAGTTTTTCCAGTCATTGCTTGGCTGTCTTAGGTTATTGTAGCCGTTTGGTCAAGAAACGCTTTTGGTTGAGTATGAAATTCTTGAGCCACACCTTCTTTCCTTGAAGCCTTGTTCTCCTGTCTTCTAGAGTTGAATGATAATGTTAAGAAATCTGAAGCCAACCTGGTTATTTTTACCTTTAAGAGTAGCCCAATCTTTTTGGTTCAATTGCCCAAAGGATTCTTTTATCTCTGGCTTCCAATAACTTCACAAGGATGTCTTATTGCTGATTCTCCTATTTCATTTTTTACTGAAAATTGGTACATCCTCTCAATTTGAAGATTCAAATCTTTTAATTTGGGGAAAATCTTCCTTGAATCATATCTTTATACATTTCTTATATGCCATTATACAGACTTTCTTGTGAACTTCAATTATGTGTATGCTGAGAATTTCCTTATCCTTCACTACTGTCATTTCTCTCCAGTCTCTTTTATCTTTTTACTTTTTTTTATTTTGCTTTTTCTTTCATGGCCTCTGTCTCTTGTTTTCAGCAGTATCTCTTCCTATTCCTTCTTATGCTACACCCAATTTTGTCTTCATTTTATGTGATTTTTACAATTTTTTATTCTACTTCTTTCCTGAGTTCTGCAGCTTCTGTTTCATCTTCCGATGCCTTGCCATTTGCATGAACCTATTCTATAAAGGCAATTGTTTTTGTACTCTTATTTTATAAAGGCAATTGTTTCACTTTTTTATTCACGGGACAATGTTCATAATTTTTCACATGCTTCATGGCAACAATTTTTATCTCTGAGGTAAGCATTCTTTATCTGCCTTTTATTTTTCCGGTTCCTTCTGCTTTTCTTTCTTGCAGTATTCTAGCACAGATCTCATGCTGGCTCCTTTTAGGCAGCCCAGCTTTGAATAAGTCGAGGTTTTTCTATACCAGCTATCTGTATAGTTTCTCCAAGGGAAGAACTGTGTAGGCACTCCAAGGAAAAGGAATATTCCTGATGACACAGGGCCATATATGAATATATGAGTCTTTTTAATCTTGATTTCTCCCTCCAAAAGCGATATGCAGCTCTGTAAGTATCTCATCTCCCCCCTGCCACTCAAACTGCTTAATGCAAATAGGGCTTGATTCCTTGATCAGGCTTTTCTCCAGTGCCTCTTAAGACCAAA